TTTTTCAATTTAATTTTAGACACTTGAAATTTTATTTTGCCTAAACTAAATTAGACCAAGTTTCCGTGGTGTAGTGGTTATCACATCCGCCTAACACGCGGAAGGCCCCCGGTTCAATCCCGGGCGGAAACATATTGTTATTTATTTTATAAAGACTTCTAAAAATATTATTACAAATTATTATATCACTCATTGCTTCTATTTAAATGGTTTGACATTCGATTTTTTTTTATTAAAATATAACTTAAATGTAATAGAAATTGATATTCATGAGATTTTAACGTCCCACTATATATTCACATTTTCAGCGAATTGTGCGTTGCAATGAAAACGATTGGAAAAGAACATTTTCATCACACATTTATGTCTGTTCGAGCTATTCAATTCTTCGGGCTATGATGTGCAATCTGATGATCTACAGTCTGCGCTTTATTTGGATTGCACGAAAATAAATAATGAGCAACAGTCAGTCAAAGCGCCAAGCGTCAAGCGCCAATGTTTTCTATCTGTCTGGTTGTCTGTCAAGCATATAAGAACGACAAACGTTTTAATATGCTTTTATTAGCCAAAGGCACTGGGAGGGATCCGCATCGGTCGTCGCCTGTCGGTCGGGGTAATTAGACTCCATTAGTGGCACTGCCAGACACTTCCTTGAAGCATTTGCTCACACACGCACACAAACAAGCACAGACAGACACGAGACGGGCATGTATGTATACAGAAATTAATGCAAAGTGCTCAGATGTCTCCAGCTAGCTGTATTAGTATCTATATATGTATCTGTATCTGTATCTGTGTCTGGATGTGAATTATGGGCACCATGTGCTAATGCTGATATGTGCTCGCTTGGGCTGGTGCTGGTGCTGATGCTGATGCTGGATGTGGCACTTGATGCGGCGCTCATAATTTTTGAGCCATTAGACAGCCTGGTGCATAAACTCATTAAAATGTACTTGAATGCCTCAAAATATGAGGCGACGCGTTGCGAAGATGGCAGATGGAAGCGATGGCCATTTGGCGTCACATTTGCTTAATTTGTCGAGCAGTGACAAATGACAAGGAGCAGCCAAGAGTTCGCATTCCCACACCCGCCTCCCCTCCCATCTAACATCCTCTCACAGAAGTGCCAGAGACATGTGTACAATTTGACAGTTTGATGCGCAACAAGATAGATTGGCTTACAGCAACGATGGAGTCTGGTTTGGGATTGCARTTAGAGTTGGAGTTGGAGTTGGAGCTGGTGGTGCAGCCTCCAGTTATAGAGCAGACTTTACGCAATTTCAGACAACTCGAGCAAACACTTGAGATTGCCGCCTGAGGGATGTTGCCTGGGTCGGTTGCCTGCTGTCGACTGATGCTGCAACATTAATGACGTTTGTTTGCGCTGTCAGCTAATGAAGATGTTGCACAGTCCCATCCATATTAGACACTTGCCACATCTCAAGTGGCCCGGCCAGTCATTTAGGGTTGGGCCAAGGTGTGGCAACACCCAACACGCCAAGTGCATTAGTTAATTATAAATGCTTGTAAAGTGTAGTAATAATAATAACTCATCTCTTGGATCCAATTACGACTTTGATGGCATAATACAACTCAACGCCGTTCGAATTGTGTCAATATTTATGGAATCTGCAATGATCTTAGTAGAAGTTAGCAAGAGAAGCATCTCAAACGATTGTTGTCTGTCAACAGAAATAATCAAAAAACAAAACAAATAAACAAGTCTTTGTTATGCAATTTGATAGCAAATACCTAAACCAAGGTTGGGTTTTTAGCTTAGGGTAGTCAGGGATATATAGCATATATGATAAGCTGTCCTCCTCAGCTCAAATAAACAAGTTAAATACAATTCCATACTATCATATATAGATGTTCCATATATAGATGTACCTAACTATTGTAGATTTCAAAATTTCACATTAATAAATAATTGTATAATGACTATTTGTATTGTTTTGTATAGAATAAATGTAACATTACCTAGGCTATCAAAAGTCTATTAATAACGATAGATGATGCACATGTAAATGCATTTAATGAATTTCAAGTGTTACAAGTCATTGAACAATTTGACACACGACTTTAAGCAAAGTTAAGTTATGCTGATTCAGTACGGCCGTTTTCAAAGTGTTCTACTGCACTGCAATGAGTCACGACAATTATTAGCTTTACGAAATCAATCGTAAGGGCTTAATTCAGGTGGGGTCTCCGCAAAAGAAATGCCGAACTTTAGTTCGCATGAATCACAGTCGGCTACTGACCGACCGCTGCTATCAGCTATCCACCGTCTACCGTCTGCTGTCCGTTATCTGTTAACAGTTCAGTTAGCATGATTCCGATTGGCAGACATCAATATAGCCAATGCTGTCGATGTGCCTTGCTTATAAAAACACATTTATTTGACCATTAGAAAACAGTTTTGGCCCAGCCATCGAATCGAACAAACCACCAATAAAGACTAAAACAAAATGGCTTTGGGTCAAAGCAACACAGATATATTTATAGAGGTGGGAAGTAATACCCGACCTGACAGCAAGCTGCAGAATTGCTGTGTCAATCGTCAGAGATTACATTCCATCATAACAGGTGAATAGATGCAACAATGATATGCGGAACTAGAAGCAATTAAAATTATAACAAAGTTCAAAAAAGAAGACCTAATTATAAATACAATCAAAACTATGCCAAATGCAATTCCGATCAATTACCGAAAATTGCATTGAGTTAAATTTAGCAGAAGAAAAGCCCAATTTGATTTCTATCAATCTAATTCATAGGAATGGTAATATTTTCCTATGGCGGCATGGACATGGCTCAGAGCCTCGGCTGGAATTTGTACACTGGAATTGCAGACACCCAACAATTTTCGTTCTGTTGGTTCATTGGCGTCATTATTGGGGCTATATTGGGAGCAGCTGCATTTAGCCACGTGCCCAAACTCTTCTTCTATGTGAGTGAGAAAATCAAAGACTATCAAAAGATTGTGTTTGACTAATGCTCCTGTTCTATCCAGGCCTTTGCAACTCTGCTGCAGCTGATCGATGCCATTATATGTGTGAGTGCGCCATATAACTACGATGCTATGGTCGCAGCTCGATACATTGGAGGCATTGGCATTGGCTTCATATCGGTGGCCTTTATCATACATAACGCGGAGGTGGCGCCAAACGACGCTCGCGGCAAGTGGTGCGCCGTGGAGCAGTCCGGCCTGGGCTTGGGCATAGCCGTGCAGGTGATCATGGACTCGATGTGGAACCCGGCCCTGCCTATTGGCAACAATCAAGTGCACGGCATCATTGGCATTGCCTTTGCTATTGTTGCCATAGCTGTCCTGATGCTCTCGGTGGAGTCGCCCATCTTTTACCTGCGCCGCAATGATTGCGACAAAGCAAGTGATTGCCAATGGCAGCTGATGGACAAAAAAGCAACTCCAAGTGATCAGCGTGAAGCACTGGAAGAGAACAAAAGTTACGTCTCGGAGGGCATACACGAGACCATTGGGCACGATCTAGTTGTTGCCATTGTTCCCTTTATCAAAATGCTGCTCTGCCGCTGCCTCGTCGCATTCAGCTTCTCGATGCCGCTCACCCAGACAATCATAGCGAGCAGCGAAGCCTGGAAGGGCACTCTATACAGCTGGCCCATCATCGTGTGGAGAATTCTGCGTTGGATCGGAACTCTCATTTCCATATTAGTGATGGACAAGCTGGGCCGCAAGCTCCTCGCCATGCTAGGCCTTGTCTGCATGGCCGGCCTGATGCTGGGCATGGCCGGCATCTACTCCAACTACGCCAACACGCAGAGTCCATACTACATGGGGCAGGTATGTCGCCTCTCCATGGCCTTCCAGATGTTTGCAGGCCTGTTCGTTGCGTGCACGCCCGCCTACATGGGCGAGGCATTCCCCATGCGAGTCAAGCCCTTCTACGTTGCCCTCATCGTGTGCATCGAGCAACTGATCCACATCATTGTGATCGTCACCTTTAAAAAGAGTGCAGACAGCTTTTACAAATACTATTTGGGCGTCGGCATTATCCTGCTGATAAGCATGCTTATCCTGTTGGTGACGCTACCAGAAACCACAAAGATGACGTTACGAGAGGCTGGCCATCGCTTCCGCCGCCTTCATGACATAACCTTTCAAAGCCCACTAGCGAGGATACGACAACGAGGCAAACCTTTCAACTGAAGTCTCCTATATACTTGAAAATCATTTCAATATTTCAAGCTGGGAAATCTAAGTTTAGTTATACAAAACAGGAATCCAATTAGTGATAGGTTGTGCCCATAAGAAAAATGTAAAATAAAGAAAGCCAAAGAATACAATTGTTTACTGTATATAATTTAAGTTTAAATTTTAACACGTTGAAAACGGAACTAGTTTGGAGATATTTCTTAAAACCAACCGAACACGTTTGCATTCTTCTGTTTGAGAATTTGTATTGTCGGTAGTTCGAAATTTGGTGTACAAATGCTAGACGTCTGCATGATTACATTCATAACAAAGCCACATTGAGTACATTCAAATTGAGTAGAATATGATTGAGTGAAAAGGACAGAATGAGACGAATGTRTATACTACTGTTTCGCAAGACGAACATGTTGTGTCTCATGCCGAATGACTGAGTATAACGAAAGAAGAGCAAAGTGAAATGAAAACTTCGAAAACACTCGAACTACTCAAGTAGTTCGAAGAATATTTTGTGTATTCATTTTGTGCTTTGAGAAATTATGAGCAGACGTGCGAAATGGAAGCGGAAGCTGCAGGAAAAAATGTATGTATTTTTCGGCAAATACCAGCGTGTTGTTTTTNTGTTTTTAAATTCTAATATTATTAATTAATTATTTGTAATAAATATATAAGTTAAAAATTCCACAACAAAAAATACATTGCACACATATTTCTTTATTTTTTCCTCTTTCTTTTAACAGATACACACAGCAGAAAACAGCTGACAATATTCGAATGTATTCAATATACAACATTTAATAGCTTCTGCTGCTCACTCACTCACTTCGTTTCTTTTTGGCTATATTTTTGTGCTGCCGAGAGAAACACGAATTCAATCGCTCACTCATTTTCATTTCGTTTTGTACAAGTTTTCACTCAATTCAATGATGACTTTGTACAGTTGAATGTGCTTTTTTTGCCATTCATGCAGACGTCTAACAAATGCGTATAATTATTTGTAGTATACAGTGTGATAAAGACTAACAATAATATATTTTAGATTTTGATATCAACAAAATGAGAAATGGAATAAAAGTAATAAAAGTATTGATATTTTTATCAATTTGTTACTAGTTGACAATAATAATCTAACACATGATCAATAACTTATACATATTTTTGTTATCTGGGGATTCTTTAGATTTGTGAACATTATGTGAATATGGCAGAGGGTCTAAGGCATTGCCAGCATAGACGAGTGAAACCGTAGAGCTAATCGACTCGCAGATACCCTAGTTTCGACGCTGAGCTGCTCTCATATAGATTGTATATCACTTATTATTACAGTTTATTATTATTTAAGTGATATATATTTTTGTGAAGTTGCTTGAGTATATGTATGTATAAATAAAACTGCATAAAGTATAGCAAAAAGAATAGGTGTATAAAAATGAAGTTATGTAAGAATGCTGTTCCCAGAGTAAAATGTTTTTTATAGATCCATGGCTGTTAAGTAACCCACGCAACTAACTGTTGGTCTAGCACTCCCCACACCACAAACTTTAAGAAGAGAAGAGCTCCAATAAGAGAGGTTCTTACGCAAATTGTATGATATGATCTGACACGCATCAAGTAGCTAATCAGTCTTGGCCAGCATATCATTAGCCAATGACAGCAAAATATTTGCGCTGATTCAGCAAAGGTGTCCCCCAGCCGAGAACACGAACTCAATAGTTTTCAGTGAGTCACAATTCGCTCTTCCACATACTTGGCCAAACGCGACTCGTAATCGGCACTATGAACATTGTCTCTGGGGACTACGCATACGCAGGGACAAGCCGAAGTGAATCACAATCGTATCTAGCTGCCGCAGATACCAAAGTTAACTGGTCCGCAGAGCACAAAACTTTGGTCTATCTATAAAATGTTAATAATATCTATATCTGACATTTTTATGCAGATAACGAATTCTTTATTTAACGATAAATAAACGCATAAATTATCTGCTACAAATTAGTTTTGCACAATCGTTTAGCGGGTTGAGTTGAGAGTCCACGCGAGTCCCAATGGCGACCACCTACGTAATCAGCGGTCCAGCACCAGGTGTGCAGCCAGCCTTTGTAGCAACGAGCGCCCCACAACCGCAACTGACCTACATCGATGTAATCGAAGATCCTCGAACCCAGCGCGGCTACAATCGCTGGACAAATGGCCACAACGCCCACACGGCAACCTTTGGTAAGTCGTCCGAAATGGAAACGCCCAACCAAAAAAATTTAAATATGTGACTAAATTCCTGATAAGAAGTTTTGGAATGCCTCTCTATGGCACTCTCTTTGCTTCAATCGGCATTATATGATTTTTCAATTTTGAAATTAAATTCGATTCTCTAACATTTTAATGCATTCCAAAACAAAACACAATAATTTGAATTCAATTCAATAATTATAATATGAATAGAAATAAAAGTTGTATTCAATTTACGCACCTTGTCATCAGGTGACTCTCCATGCATTATGTAATACGTTTAGTAAAATACGAATTAACAGTTAATTATATATTAAAATGCTATTAACGGGAATTGGATTTACTGTATGTAGACAAATTCATTTGTTTTGTCTTCGATTAAGAGAAATAATTTCATGATAATAATACTATTTGGTTCGCTTAGGATTCCTGCTCTTTACCTATGGCGGAATGGATATGGCCCAGGGTCTTCAATGGAATCTGGGAACTGGTATTGCAAACACAGCTGAGATTCAATTCAGTTGGTTCATTGGCGTCATCATTGGAGCCTTTGTAGCAGGTCTTGTAATAACCCATGTGCCGAAGAAATATTTCTATGTGAGTCAGAGAATTTATGCAAACCGAATCGAACTGCTAATGAGTGCTCGCTTCTCTAGCTTCTGGGCGGGGTCATGATGTTCATTGATGGTGTTATCTTTGTGAGTGCACCCTTCAAGTACGACCCAATTAGAGCCGCTCGCTATGTGGGCGGGGTGGGCATGGGACTGATCACGGTGGCCTTCATCATACACAACTCGGAGGTAACTCTTGGCAATACACGTGGCAAGTGGTGTGGCATGGAGCAATTCGGCTTGTCCCTGGGCATACTCATCCAGGTGCTGATGGACTCGCAATGGGACTACGACTCGAGTATTAACATCAATACGGCGCATGGCATCATGGGCATCATCTTCACCGTCTTGGCCACCGGCACCGTGGCCATGTCCGTTGAGTCTCCCATCTTCTACCTGCGCAGCAACAACGAGGACGAGGCGCGCAACTGTCAGACTCAGCTGCTGGGCACCGCGGTGCCAACGGATATATACGAGGCCATCTTTGCCGAGGCAAAGGGCTACGTCATGGAGAGCAACAGTCGCAGCTTCGGCGAAGAGCTCGCGGCATCCGGAATGCCCTTCATCAAAATGCTCTTCAGCCGCTGCCTTGTGGCGTTCTCCTTCTCATATCCGCTCAGCGCTGCCATGCTGAACAGCACTGTGGTCTGGAAGGGTTCCATGCACAGCTGGCCAATAATTTTGTGGACCATTCTGCGCTTCGTTGGCGTCCTCATCGCAATCGCCATCGTGGACAAGCTCGGCCGCAAGTTCATTTCGCTGGTGGGACTCCTGTGCATGGCGGCCCTCATGCTCGCTTTGGCTGGCATCTTTACGCACGATCCAAACTTTTCAAGCACCTATTATATGGCAGAAGTGTCTCGCGTCTCCCTAGCCTTCCAGATCTTTGCTGGCTTCTTCGTGATCAGCACACCAACTTACCTGGGCGAGGCTTTCCCCATGAAGGTGAAGCCTTATCTCATTGGCTTTGTCGTGTGCCTTGAGCAGCTGATTCACATCATTGTGATCGTCACATTCGGCAAGACCTCTGACTGCTTCTTCCAGTACTTTGTTGGCGTGGGCATTATATTGGCGGTCAGCCTGATCATCTTTGCAGTCTTGATGCCCGAAACTCGAGACCTCTCCCTCCGACAGGCTAACGAACGTTTCTGTCGCTACTATGACGTGATGTCTTACTAAGAACCAACTTACAGTGGGGCCAAACATGTTTGACACGGTCAAATTTGTATTCTGCTTGTATCCAGCTGGACCTTTGTTCAAATTTCATTGAAGCAATGATTAAGTTCCTGAAGAGCTGAACGTTTCCAACACTTATTCATTGACTATGGATTAGCCTCAATATTATTCAAGGCACATATAAATTATTACTTCTTAAATATTACTAAAAATAAAATTGATACCTGCATCACATATAATAATAAAATTAATATTATTATAATATTATCAACTAAAATGTACAAAATAAAAATTAATAAAAATATTACATATTATGATTGGGTGCCTAATTAGCCTCATTCCTATATATTTATCATGCTAAAATTCATTTAGATTAAGTTTTGCATGCGAAATACTTTTCAGTTTGAAAATGATCTGTTTATGAACTGCGCTATTCTCTTAACATATAGCCAAGACAAAATATTTTTCACGAATTTGCAATTCTATATATTTTTATATAAACATATATATGTATATGATATAGAGATATATTTATGTATGAGTAACTCAATTAAGCTAACAGTAATTAAACGCGTATTTTTTCCAGTTCCATAATGAATCAAAATCAGAAGTGGGTTGGTCAAGGGGCTGGTAAAGACGACCAAGCAAATGCTGATTACAATATTTATACATTATCTATAACTAGATAATGATAACAGAGTTTTCTTTTTCACATAAATGTGAACAAATTGACGCTTCGAAGTCAGTTACGAAGTAGCCTTTATGTCGAACGAATCTTAACTCACGCGTGACCAATAAGTGACCAACAGAAATGACTATCGCCTATGTTACCACAAACGAAGCACAGCCAGCGCAGGTTACCTATGTTACCAGAAACGAATCGCAGCCAGCGCAGGTAACCTATGTAACTGCAGGTCCTGCTCCCCTACCACCACAAGCCACCTATGTTCAGGTGCGGACTCGACGACCCACCAAGCAGAATGCTCACACAGCGACATCAGGTGGGAAGCAAAAAA